GGAAAGAGAAATCCCCCCTGCCAAGGGGGATGTCCATACCACAATTCTTACTCCTTCATTCTCCTCCCGGTATCTCGAGCAGGCACACACATGTGCCCAGCTTGAGTTTCAAGCTGTCGGATCTGGGACTCAAATCACGGTTGGCCATGTGGGAGTCCAGTGACATAACCACTATGCCATCTGCTGTCCCACATAACATTCGTTTTCAGTGATCTGTGAAGGGAATGCAAAACAAGTAATCAGAAAACACAAGGAATTGGGGACCAGGAGATGGCATAATGGTTACATTACTGGACTCCCATGTAGTTGACCATGGTTCGAGTCCAAGACCCGGCATCTTGAAACTCAGGCTGGATGCATGTACATGCATGCCCAAAATCCTGAGAGGAGAATGGAGGAGAAGGGATTGTGGCGGGCTCTCCCTGCTAGGGAGTGGCTTGGCGCTTTCTGCCTATCTCTCTGGTGAGTGCACATGCCCTATAGCAAAAGACTCTCTCAAAAATCAAAAAAAAAAAAAAAAAAAACATAAAGAAGTGTGTTTTCTGTGTGAGACAAGAAATTGACCCTTACGAAAAATCAGTAGCTTATAGCTCTAATTGTTTGAAAAGTTTAAATATTTTTAAGTCTATTGACAAAATTACTGTCAAAGTGAAGTATGCTTCTAAGTCTGATGTATCATTTTAATTTTATAATTACAAGCTCGTACAGAATATATTTTGAGGAGGTTGGTCCAACAAAATGATAATATTATAATCGTCTGGATATTTTAGTTTTTTCCTTTGTAAAAGCAAAACTATGTGAGAGACCTTTTTCTCTTGGTTTCACAATTTCTGGACGTTCTGTGTCTTTATTAAGAATGACATGGGGAAAGAGCGTTTAAGAAAGACTCTTCTTCCTCTTTGGCAGAGAGAAGGACATCGAGATGTTCCTGGAGTCCAGCCGCAGCAAATTCATAGGTTACACCCTCGGCAGGTGAGCGTGAGCTGAGTTCCTTTGAAGCTCACTCTCTTGGCCTTTGGTGTTTGGGGACCCAGGTGAACTGGCAGCTAGGCTTAACACAAGGCCTTCTTTATTCTCCAGTGACACGAACACAGTGGTGGGGCTGCCCAGGCCAATCCACGAAAGCATCAAGACTCTGAAACAGGTAAGTGGCTTGGGTGAGCTTTTGGCCCAGTTTGGTCCCAAGTGAGTAAAGTGAGAGTAGCCCGTAGGGAGCTACTTTGAGGCCTGTTGTCTGCCCGAAAGAACTTGGGGTGGAGACGTGGGTGGACTGAGGAACGCCCTTGACAGCAGTTCTTCGTAAGTTTTACTTGTTTTTGCTGAGCTTTGGTTAGGACTGACTGAAGGTTAACTAAAGCTCTTACCTGACAGTTGTTGGAGTTTTACGGAGCCCCATAAATAGCCCTTCCTTTTTCTTGTCCAGGTCCTGAGCCAGCTGAGATAGAGGTTAGGTAGATGGAGATTGCGATGCCAGCATTGCTGTCAGCGATTGAAGAATGCAACTGAGAATGCTGTACCAGTGTCCTAGTCCAATGCACCCAGAATTAGGCAGACTCACTCACTCAGTCTCAGGCAGTGCTAACCTGGTGGAGGAGCAGAAGGCACAGGCCCTGTGCAGGCAGAGTCTCCAGAGAAAGGGATCAGCTCTGACAGTTCTGTGCTCCTTCCATACTCCCTAGGCAGGGGGGAGGGGTGAGTAGGAGGGGGCAGGGGGAGACAGCAGTGCTTTGCCGATTGCATGCCCTGCATAGGAGGGGAGATCAAGAGCGAGGAAGAAGTGTCTCCTCCAACAACGAAGCTATATATGTATATATATTTCTTTTTTTTTTTTCCAAAATAAGTTTTTGAAATCTGTAGTCCATCTGGTCTGTGTGCAGCCAGGCTTTTTGAGTACTTGATTTTGCTTTTTATAGCTTTTCTCCTGTCACCATAGCTATCTGAAAGCCGTTTTCTCTCCTTAATTTGTTTATGTGTTTGTTTTCTAATCTACTCTGGGTTTTTACTCTAGTCGCAAGAGCTGCCCACTTGGAAAAATATTTAGGGCTTGGGATTTTAGTTAGGGGTCCCTGCCATCTTTCAGAAGATTGTGTTTGAAGAAAATTGTAGGGTCTTTGCCAGGCTGTGGGGAGTTTGGCCAGAGAACAAGGGATGTCGTCCCCACTGCTTCCTTTGCGTCTCTTTCCAGCACAAGTACACGTCAATTGCTGAGGTCCAAGCGCAGATGGAGGAAGAGTACCTTCGCTCTCCTCTCTCGGGGGTGAGTTGGAGACCCGCATCAGCCCGTAGGCTCTGCAGCTGTTCCCAGGAACCAGGCAGTAGCAGAGCAACCCAGCCTTTTCCCTCTAGATCTAGTCCAGCTCCCAGTACAGGCAGTGACTAGTGCAGGGTTCAGAGCCCTGACTCCAAGCTGTGCGTCTGCCTCTGAGTGGGCAGGGACAGCAACTTCGGCAAATTGCTGGATCTCTCCTCGCTTTGTTTCTTCACCTGCAACACAGGAAGAGTGCAGTGTCTCCTTCACAGGGTTGCAGTTAGGGTTAATGAGTTTTACAAATAAAGCGCCCAGCATGATGTCCTTGTTCAGGGTTCGCTGTTACCACCACCACATCGTTCATGTCGATACTTGCACGTTCTCCTCCAGCCTGCTAGCAGGCTGACCCAGGAGATGGTGGTTGGACTGGGGCTTTGTCTTCGTACCCATTTTGTTAAAGGGAGAAGAGGAAGTCGAACAAGTCCCTGCAGAAACTCTTTACCAAGGCTTGCTTCCCAGCCTGCCTCAGTATATGGTGAGTATTCTGTGTCTGGGACCCTCTGGGTGCCACAGTAGGTATCTGTGGTGGAAGAGAGTGCCCTGGGGTTTCCTTCTCTCCCCCCTGCTGCCTACGGACTTACGGGGGCACTGCTCCTCGCTTTCCTCTGGTCCTGGGTGCTCTCGTGGATGTGTCTGAACAGTCTGCTCTTCCCAGATTGCTCTCCTGAAGATCCTGCTGGCCGCAGCGCCTACCTCAAAAGCTAAGACAGACTCGATCAACATCCTGGCTGATGTCCTGCCTGAGGAGATGCCGTGAGTATCATGAACTTTAGAGTATTCAGGCAAAGGACACTGCTAAATTAAAGCGGTTCACTGGCTCGGGAGATGGCAGAGTCCCATCAGCCCATGTTCTCGTGCAGAAAATGGAAAATGATGGGGCTGCGCTATCAGTCGTTCCCCCAGCCCCTTTTGGAAGCTGCAGGGTTGGTACACCCAGGACATGGAGGGCTGAGCTAGCTGTGGAGTGAACTGGCCGGTAGAGCCCTGGTCTCAGGGAGACAGAGTGAAACCCTTGGGACTTTTTCTCCCCTGCGCCCTGACCTTGTCTCTTTGTGGACGTGCAAACCAAGATCCTGTTCTGCTTTGAAAAGGACCTAGGTCTTGACCTGACATACCTGTCTGCCTGCACTGCCCAGCTCCTGGGTGGCTGCACCCTGGCGCCGAACAGAGGTAGTCAGGTGAGGGAGGCAGCAGGGATGGCTGGTCCACAGGAAGGGTCAGAACTCTCGGCTGTCATGGTCCTTGGGAAAAAGGTTCCAGAGTCAAATATATTTTTTTCTTAAAAAGGTTTACATGGAAAAGTCTTGAATTAAGAAACCGATGGAACTTGGTGCTTCCTAAATTTTTCTGATTCTAAAACCTGTTTTTCCCCATGACATTAAACTTCCAGTGTACTGGCATTCCACTGAACACAGTGTGGGGAATGCAAGTTAACATGATGGCAGAAGCTTAGTGGAGATCTTGAAAAGGAATTTTTGGGAGGAAAAGGAGAGAAACAGGCCAAGAATATACCTAGGAGCATCATGAGAAGGGATAAATTGCATGAGCCAGATTGCTTGGGGGTTGGGTGGTGCGGGGGGAGCCTTTGCTGGGAGAGGCTCAGGCAGCACCTCCGCTGTGAGCACCTGGAAGGGAGGCGTAGCTCCCGCTGGCAGCTCACCTGCCGTCGTGTCTTCAGCACCACAGTGTTGCAGAGCATGAAGCTGGGGGTGGACGTGAACCGCCACAAAGAGGTCATTGTGAAGGCCATTTCTGCCGTCCTGCTGCTGCTGCTCAAGCACTTTAAGTTGAACCATGTCTACCAGGTACCTGTCCGGCCTTCCTCCCTCTCTGTTGGGCTGGGCCTTAGGTGGTGCTGCTCTTCCAGCTGGCAGGAGTGGGGGCCTTGGTCTTTGGACCTGCTGTCTCTGCGGGAAGGCTCTAAGACATGGTCCTCAACCAACACTTTTTTATATTTTTTTTGAGAGATGACGTTTTGCTATAGGGTGCATGTGCTCATCTGAGAGACAGAGACAGATCTAAGCGAGAAATCACCCCCAGGGTGGAATGGCCTTGTCATAATCCCTTTTACATTCTCCTCTCGGGACTTTGGGCACACATGCACCCAGCGTGAGTTTTAAATCACTGGGCCGGCATTCAAACTACAGTCGGCTATGCGGGCGTCCAGCACCGTAGCCATTATGCCATCTGCTGGTCCCCAACCAAGGCCTTTTACTGCCCAAGGAGAAAGGGCAGGGTCCCATGGGGCATGCTTATTTTTTTCCTTGTTTATTTCAGTTTGAATACATGGCCCAGCACTTGGTGTTTGCCAACTGCATCCCTTTGATCCTAAAGTTCTTCAATCAAAACATCATGTCCTACATCACCGCCAAGAACAGGTGACTGGACCAGGGACCAGGATGGCTGCGTAGGGGCCAGATGGCAGTGCTCCCAGCTGGTCTCTTCCACAAGTCTAGTTAGCCAACATTTTTCCAGCACCAACAAGCCAGCCTTCCGCCAAGCGTCAGGACACAAGGATGAATGAGACCTGGTCTCTGCCTCAGAGAACCAGGGTGTTAAGTCTGAGTCTCACTGGTCTAGTGATAAGTGACTCAGTCCACCTGGGCAGGCAGGTTCTCATCCTGGGTCCTAGTACTGCCTTCACTGGTCTCTGCACTTGCTTTTAGAAGAGACCATGTGGGCGACCAGCTCTCTCTCAGAAGCTCAGCTGTATGCACTGTCCTGCCCTGCCTGCCTGTACTGACAGCAGATGACAGTGTCTGCTTCGCGGGGTGGTTTCCCACAGGGTGGGCTGCCAGCCAGGCATCGTCGCCATTAGGGCCTAGCCTGAATCAGTTGCCTTGGGCAGTCTCCCCAGCCTGATTCCCTGCTGTGTGGACAGCGTGGACTACCCAGAGTCTCTACCTCTTAGAAGATTATTAGCTGGTCTCGGCCTCAGGGGAAGCATACATGTTCTCTTGTAGCAGATCCTTGCTCTTTTAGCTGGTGGAACTGCGACAGGGCATACGAGGTAGATTCTTCTTCTACTCCAGCAGTGTGGCTAGCTAGGGGCCAGCTCAGTCACGGCTGTCCCTCAAGCCCCGGGCTCTGCTCATGGTGGACACCTGGGTTCTCTTGCCCCGCAGCATTTCTGTCCTGGATTACCCTCACTGTGTGGTGCATGAGCTGCCGGAGCTGACTGCAGAGAGTCTGGTGAGTGGCTGGGCTCTCCCCAGCTGTCCCTTGACTTGAGGGTCAGCAGGTGCTTAGCCTTCCTCCCCCAACAGGAAAAGGGGTGTCTTCCACAGATGAGGTCACATCTGAGTGCCTGGTCTTTAGCCAGGAAAGGCCAAGGGGAGGCGGAGAGGCAGACTTGGACGCAGAGACGAGGCAGTCTGGGAACAGGGTCTTTAGGGATGGCTGACCTGACGCTCGCCTGGTAGAGCCGTTTCCTCCCCACGTTGAACTCTGGAGCTATGGCTCTGGGGCAGCCTGAAGCCACAGCCCCCGGTACCGCCATCCATGTTGCCTGTAGAATATGTCTGGGGAGGCCATCTGCCCTCCAGTCCCCTGTCACTGTCTGCAATGAGTCCCCATGAGAGGAGGGTTCCTGGGAGAGGCGTGGAGACCTGGCCGAGCTCGAGTATGTGAGAGCCTTGGGGGAACTGTGAGCGCCCCACAGTTCTGAGGGTTAAGATTGTTCCTGGATTTATCCTGCAGGAAGCAGGCGACAATAACCAGTTCTGCTGGAGGAACCTCTTTTCTTGTATCAATCTGCTTCGGATCTTGAACAAGCTGACGAAATGGAAGCATTCAAGGACAATGGTGAGTCAGTGCAGTTGGGAGACCTGAAGCCTAGCAGTCCTGGTAGAGTGCCATGCCCTGTACTGGCCCCGGCACTGGGGTGGGGGTGAGGGCAGTCCCCAGGGGGGCTTGCTGACCCCGTTTGTCTCCCTTAACTTTGCTGTAGTCACATCCTTGGATTTTACGGGCTAATGAGTGGACCTGGGTGCTGCAAGAGGCTCAGTAATACACTGAGGCAAATCCACACTTCAAGAGGAGCCTTTTGGGCCAGCCAGGGGCCTGGTGGTTAAGGTGGCTGAATCCCACATGGCAGACTGCATAGTTTGAGTCCCAGACCTGGCAACTTGAGAAAACGCCAGGCACGAGTGCATGTATACCCAAAATCTTGAGAGGATGGAGGAGGGATTACGACATGGCTGTCTCCCCTGGGGGATGCTTTCTCACCTCTCTATCTTGTAAGTGCAGGTTCCCTAAAGCAAATAAAGAAAAACAAAAAATGAAAAATTGGAACCTTTTCTGCATCCCCTCAATCTTGGTGGGTAACATGACCAGGATTCTAGAGGTCTTCCTTAGTAGAGGCCTGTGGTCGCCTTGGGTGTGAGGTCCACGAGGCCTCTGAAATCATGTGTGCGTGCACTTATGGGGGTTTCTAGTGAAGGAATTTGTCACTTTCTGCAGATTCCCAAGTGATGTGTAAGTATCGTGGTTTGCCTGGAATTCCTGGTTCTAACAGTTAAAGTCCCAGGTACCAGGGAACCTCTCACCTCAAGGGAAGATGGTATGACTTGTCGCCACGAGGGTGCTTTACCCCACAAGGGTGACGCGGCAAGATAGTGGCTGCATTGCTTCTGTCCTCAACTGGGACTGATCGGGGCTCCTTCCCAGATGCTGGTGGTGTTCAAGTCAGCCCCCATCCTGAAGCGGGCCCTGAAGGTGAAGCAGGCCATGATGCAGCTCTATGTGCTGAAGCTGCTCAAGGTGCAGACCAAGTACCTGGGGCGGCAGTGGCGGAAGAGCAACATGAAGACGATGTCTGCCATCTACCAGAAGGTGCGCCATCGCCTGAATGACGACTGGGCATACGGCAACGGTGAGGCTCCGCACCGGGCAGGACTGGGGCAGGGCATGCGGGGAGGGGGCATCTTCCACTCCCTGGCCATGGACCTCAGGGGCCTCCTGCTCAGCAGCCAGCTCCTGCCTTTGTGGCATCAGAGTAGGAACACTAGGAAGAGCTAGGAGAAGCTACACATACCTTGGCATCTGTTTCTGTCTATTCTCAAGTCATTCTTTTTTAGAAACTGTCACAAGACTCCTGTCCCCTCTTTTTATCCCATCTACAGCTTCTGTAGTTCTGGCCGTCTGAATTTGTAACTCCTGACCGGCTCCCCTGCCTTCACTTTTTCTTCCACCAGCACCTCAGACTTTGCCCTAATGATCTTTTTCAACTTGGGAGACCCGTGTTGTTACCTCCCAGCGTACAATCCTTCGCTTCCTATTTCCCTTAAAACTCAAGTCAGTGTCTTAAGCAAGAAATGTGAGGCCTGCCCATCCTCCTTCCCTCTTCCCCTGCAGTCTTGACACAGCTTCATTACCTGCCATCAGCCCAGCCTCCATCACACCCAGGGCGCCAGCACAAGGCTGGAAACTTCCCGTTTCTGGGCCTGTGTGCACATCACTGTTCTCCCATGATGCCTCCCCCATCCGTTCTGGCTGCGCCAGGTCTGCATGTTTCAGCCGGTACGGTGCCTGCCGTGTGGCCCTGGGTCTGACTGTCCCGTGCTCTGCCGCCCACCCTGTGAATTTGTGCAGGCTCAAGGTGGTAACCAGTCAGGGAAGTGAGGAGAGTAAGTGGGGAACCCAGGTTCCTGCCTCTGACCACGGAGAGTCAGGGAGAACCTCAGTTTTTCTTTTAAGTTTATTTCCTTCTTTCTTTGATGAGTGAGACAGACATAGGCACTCCCTACAGGACCTCCACGCTGTGAGCCAGCCGCCTCCTCCTCAGCCCCAGATCATGGGCATGCATGCACCAGCTTACTCAGGTCTTTAGACACGAACTGGAACGCTTCCTGGTGGTCAGCCTCACAGAGCATTGCATTGTACCACTGTGCCATCTGACCTCTGAGAACGTTCCTTTTTCCTCCTTTCTTTTTTTTTTTTGTCTTGAGTTTTTTCTATAGGGTACATGCATTCACCAGAGAAACAGAAAGAAAGGGAGAAATCATCCCCAGGGAGGATGGCTATATAGCAATCCCCTCTTCTCCAATCTCCTCTTAGGATTTTGGGTACATATGTACACATGCCTGGTATGTTTCCTAAGCTACCAAGTCTAGGATATGAACCACGGAGTCGGCCATGTGAGATCCAGCACCTTAACCACCACACCACCTGCTGCCCTGAGAACTTTCCTTTTTAAAAAAAATTTTTTTGGAGAGGTTTTTGCTGCAGGGTGCGTGCATTCACCAGAAAGACAGAGAGAGACAGAGAGACAGAAAGCACGAAATTCCCTCCCCCTTCCCCCAGGGGGGATGTCCATGCCACAATCCCTTCTCCATTCTCCTCTCGGGATCTTGGGCACATACACACATGCGCCTGACGTGAGTTTAAGCCACCAGTTTCAGGACTCGAACTGGGGTCGACTACATGGGAGTCGAGCGACATAGCCATTACGCCAATTGCTGGTCTCCCTTTTTAAATTTTTTAAACCAGAGGGCATGTGCATGCAAGAGAGAAACAGACAGACCATTGAGGGCCTGGTCACGCTGCAGTCCCCTTTCCTTCATTCCTTTATCCCGTCAGGGTCCTGTGCACACGTGCAGGGCTAGGACTCTAACCGTCACCAGCCATGTGCGATCCACTTCCCGCCACACAGTACTATGCTGCTGTACTGCAGGGCTGACCCAGAACTTTATTTCCAGAGGAGCATGTTGAACGTGTGGCTCCCTCTCTCGGTCTACACAGTGTCTGCAGTGTAAGCCACTTACAGATCTGGCTTTTTTCCCTAGTACCTGAATCTCTTTCTGTGCAGGAAAGAATACCTATCATTCCTGAGGACAGGGCTTGGAGGTGTCCTGCTCCCGTTTGACATTCAACATTCCCAGCCCTGGCCAGCATGGCCTCTGAGCTGCTGTGAACTCCTTGGGAAGCTGTGACAGGGCTTGGCTCCTAATTGTCTTCCTGCTTCCCTTAGATCTTGATGCCCGGCCTTGGGACTTCCAGGCTGAGGAGTGTGCCCTGCGTGCCAACATTGAACGCTTCAATGCCCGGCGCTACGACCGGGCCCACAGCAACCCTGACTTCCTGCCAGTGGATAACTGCTTGCAGAGTGTTCTGGGCCAGCGGGTGGACCTCCCTGAGGACTTCCAGATGAACTATGACCTCTGGTTAGAAAGGGAGGTCTTCTCCAAGCCCATTTCCTGGGAAGAGCTGCTGCAGTGAGCCTACTGGGCAGGGGACTGAAACCGAAGGGAATGATCTCGAAGTTCCTGAGGGACTGTCCTGGTTCATTGCTGCAGTGCTCCCATCTCCCTCTAGGTGGCAGCACAGCCCCACTGTATCCATAGCCATCCCTGGTGGTGGGTGAGCCCAGGTTGACCTATCTTGAAAAGCAGGATCCTGCTTAGGAGCAGTCATCTCTGCTTGGGATCCACCCCTCCCCTCCTCTCTTCACCTCCTCTTCTCTCTACCCCCTCCCCTCAGACATGGTTGATTGCAGCTTATTTTGCAATCAGCCCCAAGTCTAGGAAGCACTGGGATAGGCTGGGAGCCCCTTGTCATGGCATCTGATGCTCGAGGGTCAGGCTGACTCCTGGGACACAGATCCTTGGCATGGCAGCTTAGGTTGGGGCCAGTGCCAGAAGGTTGGTGTTTTGGTTGTGCTCGGGGAGTTTCTGATGTCATTCCAGCCTCCTGCTAAAGTTTAGCCAGAAGCAATCGCAGAGGCCCTGGTAGCTGCCTCAGCACTTTGGTTTGGACAGGGTTGGTACAGAGAAAGAAACTTCCCTTAACCAGAGGTGCCATTTTTTCCTCTTGGTTTTCAAAGGCCTGTAAATATCTATATAAATCTGTGTAGTCTCTTGTGTTAAGTTGGGGTTTATAATGTGTTTCCGTATTCTGTTTACATTAAAAAGAAGCAAAACAATTCTCATTGCCTTGTCTGAGTAAATATGACCTCTGAATATCTCCCCCAGGTCTAGAAAGAGGCTTTCCTGCCAGCATTGCTAGGTCAGCCTCTTATCCCGCACCAGGCTGCCTGCCTTTCCCAGGGAGGGGGATGGGTAGGAGTCCTTACTTACCAAAGTGCGCTCTGCACGTCAATCAGATCTGGCCGGCCCAGCTCCCAGCTCTGGCTTGCTGGATTGCTGGGTTGTCCTGCACCCCTGGATTAAGTATAGTCACAGACTCCCCGAGTTTCTCTGGGCCACACCCCTGAACTGGCCTCAACTAAAGTAGTTTCAATGCCAGGGAAGGAGAGTCAAGGTCAAAGCAAAGGTCAGCTGCACCCGGCTCCCTCACTGGGGCAGGCGGGTGTGACCAAGAGGAACCGCGCTCAGGGCCTGGGAAGCAGGAGTCAGTTTCACAGTGTGAAGAGTGGCAGAGGGCCCAGGGGCCCCCATGGCTGGAGAGGCAAGGAAGTCACCTTTGTGCTAGGTGTCAGTCCTTCAGGCCTCCTGCTGCCTGTGCTCTGGCTGTCAGACACCCCTACCTTCACCTCGTTCTATCTGGGGGCTCTGCCTCAGCATACTAATTACCATTTTGATGCTGGTAAAAGAAGTTCCTTTATGAGAATTGCTGGAAATTTCCTTATCTTTGTATAAGCAATGTGTATGGGGTTTTAAATCTCCAAGGGGTCTTGACTTATAAAGGGAACGGTCTGGGGAGAATCTTTTTGTTTATTGATTCTTAGTGTCAGCCTGGGCCCGTGGAGCCTCAGGACAGACCTTGATGTCCCAGCAAGGCTAGGAGCAGAGAAGGGACATCAGTGTACTCCCGATGGTCACCCAGCCTGTGAGATGGGGTGCCCATGTGACCCAGTCGCCTTGGGTGTGAGGTCCACGAGGCCTCTGAAATCCTGTGTGCGTGCACTTACGAGGGTTTCTAGTGAAGGAATTTGTCACTTTCTGCAGATTCCCAAGTGATGTGGAAGTATCGTGGTTTGCCCCTCTGCCCCACAGTAACTTGCATAGGACACAGGAATTGAACATACTGCAAATGTGTGTGACGAGTTTTCTGTTCTTTCTTGCCAGGACTGACAGGAAGTGCGTATCTTGAGATTTCAATCTCAGGAAGATGGATTTTCACATTTTCACTCCACCATGCAGCCTGGGTCACTGAACCCGTTTGGGCCGAGGCTTTGTCAATCCTTTCGTGGCTTTCTCAGTCTCCTCTGACCTACAGAAAAGAGGACAGGATGCATGGCTGCAAGGGCCTTAAAGCTGCAGGTGAAACCCTCCGCCTGTAGGCCCAGGAACTGGCCCGGAGGGGAAGCGCCTCCTCACAGCCACAGAACGTGTCATGGCAGGTTGGCTGTTTGAACCCTGGTTTCTGTACAGAAATGTCTTTTGGAGCCTCAGCATGTGTGGCCGTAGAGCTCGTCTGGGTGAGGAAATGAGTAGGGAGTGTGCAGGCCCCTGGGGAGCAGCCAGGTACAGAAAATGCTGATCCTTACCAAGCCAGGGCCCAGCGCTCCTCAGCCCACTGAAGGACAGATGACCCTGAGGCTGTATTACCCTGAGATGGGACTGTCCCTTGTTAATCATAAGATAGCACTCACTGGGTGCCAAATAGGGACCCAGCACAATAGGTGATGCTTCCGGAAGGCTCCTCTGCACAGTGGCTAGCAGGAACTGAGAGGTGACTGCGTGCCAGCCACTGCTGTGCACAGTTCATGTGTAATTTTTAAAATTAATTATTTAATCTTATTCATTCATTTTAATTTGACCAGAGAGAGAAATAGAAAAAGAGAAAGTGAGAAAGCAAGCCACCAGGTCTGGGACTTGAACTGTGGTAAGCCATGTGGGAGTGTCCAGCGCCTTAACCACCACGCCACCTGCAGGTCCCCTATGTATAATATCTCTTCCTTAGGGTAACCCTGAAAGGTGTACAGTACCCTGCCAATCCCTATATTATGTATGAGAAAACTGGCACGGAAGGTCGGAAATATTCACAGCTAGAGCCAGGATTCCAATTCGTGCTCCGCGTCATGCTGTCCACCCCCACGCCTTTTCTTTTCATTGTGGTTGCCCCCAGCACTCCCACTGTTGACCCGCCATTCATTCGTTCATTCTTCCACTTCACCCAGTACTTCGCATCTGCTCCAGCTGGTCCTTGCCACAGACAGTTCACGGCACATGGCCATTACTGTAGGCCCTAACTGGGCCACCCAAGCTTGGCCCTGGCCCAGCCTCTGATGTGTCCCACGTGTGCCCCTTCAAGAAGGACTGTTGTTAGTACCTTTTTTGTCTTACCCTTTTCAGCTTAAGCCTGGATTTCCTTCCTGGGTCCCAGAGGACTTCTGTATTGGCTGCCTGTACCGTACCTGTTCAGTTCAGCTCCCCGGAGGCTGGCTTCCTGTCTGGCCTCTGAACTGACCGCCCTGAGAAGCAGTAACTGTTACATTCACTTGATTCTTGGCACGGTCAGCCTCAGTCTGCTGGCCGGAAAATAAGGGGATTGTGTCCTTTGGGAGCGAGACAGCCGGACTCAATCCAGACTCTGCCATTTACTCGCTGAGCTAATCAAGCTCTAAGCCTCAGTTGTCTAGTCTGTAAAAAATTGGTTCAATAGCCCTATTGTGGGGACTGAGGAAGATAATGGATCACAACCTTCGTACCTGGCTGACAGACCACAGTAAAAGGTAGCAATTCTTGATGTTGCTAATGGTTCATGCAACTCTAACCTGTGAATTTGCATCCCTTCCCTATGTACCGTAGAAAAGAGAACTTCCCTTCCAGGATCAGACCATGTTTCAGGCCTCCTTATGTCCCCTGTCCCTAGCTCACACTGAATCCAGAGGCTTCTCAGGAAGAGGTGGCCATCCGTGAGTTAGCAACCCTGCCATCCCGCCCTAAGGCTGGATCTGGGCCAGGCTCTTGCTGGGTGCCCTGGGCATCCAGGTGTATCAGATAGCACAGGCCCTCACTCCTGACGGGTGCTCAGTCTGATGGAGAGAGCCGTGAAATCAAGCAAAAGCACCAACATAGGTGCGCAGCGGTAGGGAGGCATCTGAAGGGCTCCCATGTCCCAGGCCGAGGCCGCTACTGGAGAGAATGGGCTGGGGAGAGAGGGGTTGAGTGGGAAGGGAGGGCTTCCAAGAGCAGATGCCCTCCAGGTGAAAAGATCTTGGATGAGACAGGGGGGCTGGGGCAGGGGAGGTGCATTTCCCTCTGCTGGGTGAAGAAAGGTACCAGTTGCCCGGTTCCTGGCTGTGCTGGGCTCTGCTGCTGTCAGGCTGCAGAGGGTCTGTACTTGGGGGTTGTAACTCAGGTTGATGTGTAAATGGCTGGGGGAGACGGGAAAGAGGACTGAGTGCCTCTAATGAGAAGCATTTCCCCTTGCCCGACTGAGGCAGGAAGCCTAGACTGAAGGGGCCCCTGGTGAGACCCTCTAGTGCTGACCTGGTGTCTATGCCTCTGCCAGGACCAAGATTTAGGGCTCTGCAATCTTCTCTGGGTGGGCCTCATGGGGGCAGAGAGGAGCCTCTGCAAAGAAGCCAAGATTCCAGGTGGGGCCACTTCCCCTTCCCTTTCCCAGGAGTGACCAGAGCCCCCACCTGGCCTTGGGGAACCATGGCTAAGGCCTGAGGTCACCTCTCGAGTCAGGCTGTCAGGCCCAGGATGCAAGGGCATCTGGAGACCTGGGGGCTGTGTCTTAGGATGTGGGGGAGGAGGGGAGCACAGCTAATGGGAAGCAGGTGGAAGGGCTGCCTGCACCCCAGCCAGGGGACAGGCCTGCAGGGATGGCCCAGGCAGTGGGAGGACCCGTCAGCTCGCAGATAATCCCACGAAACAGGCTCCGAGTTGCCCATTCATATTCATTATGTGTGAACTGGGCGGTTGTAAAGTTAGCCTTCTCTTCATTTAGCTGTCACTGGACAGAAAAATATGAGCTGTGGGCAGACGCCCCTGGATGGGAGCCAGTAGCCGGTCCCTGGCCTCCCTGTGGCCTGCCCCCGCAGCCCCCACCCCACCTGGGCCTCTCCTGGCCCCTGCCCACCTCCCACTCTCGCCGCATGGATGGCTGGCCTGACTTTACTTTCTTCTCCCGTCTGGCTCTTCCCACTTGTGCTGCTTTTCCTCTGGTTGTCACGGACCCTGTCCCCTCCACTCCCTCCGTGTCTCTCTCTCTCTCTCAGCTGAGAGTGAGGGAGTCATGTTTTTCTCCATCATTGCTCTCTCTCTGGCACTCCGTACTCATTAAGTGCTTCTAGACCAAACAACCTCTCTGGGCATGTCTTTGACTTTCGAGGCAAGGTACGAAACTTTGCTGAGCACTCCTTGAGTGAAGAAACTTCTAGGGCTGTGGCGTAAGGCCCACCTGACTGCATGAAAGTGGTTCTGTTCAGCAGCCGGAGCTGAGGTACCTCCCTGTCTTACCCTGACTCTTCCCTTCCTGGTGAGTCCCCTCCTCCTGTGGGATACCAGGCTCACACCTGGACCTCAGAGTCAGTGTCAGGACAGAGGGGAACAAATTGCCAGAAGCCAGGCCCTTGAGCAGAGGGAGGAGAAGGTAAGGGAAAGAAAGGAAAGAGGAGAGAAGGAAAGAAAAGGAAAGGGAAAGGAAGACAGCTGACTCCTCTAGGGATGCGTGGCTGCCTCGCTGTGACTGTCTTGGCTGACAGACGTGATCTGACAGGACTTTCTTTGGGTCTTAAGCACAGCACGGATGTGTCTTTGTGTGCTGGGGTTTCTCTGTGCCTGAACGACGAAGCGTGGGTGGGGGGCTGGGGGGCAGGCTGCTAGCTGAGGCTGAATTCTTCTGAGCAATGTGGTTGTGTTTACCGAAAGGGTGGGAGGGCCCGGTATTTTCCTGCCTTCCCAGCTTTGGAGATAAGGCAGAGTGGGGATGAAGGATAGAAAGGCAAAACTCTGAAACCACAGAAAGGGTCTGGCTTTCGTCTCTGCCCCACAGCTCAGATGTGCTCCCGTGGTTCCTGGGGTGTCTGGGAGAAGGGCGCTGTCCCACCTCCACCACTCGGGGCTCAGCTCATGGGAGCTTGGAGCCCTCTGCCAACACGCCATTCTGCCATTCCACCTCTCTTCCATGTCAGTTCAGCCACGACCTTCCCTGCCCACAGCAGCTGAAGCCACAGAGCCCCGTGGCAGATACCTAGCCAGCCAGGGCCTGCACGCCGAGGGCTCTGCTGCAGCGCACCTTCCCCAGCCTCCAGGGTCTTCCTGGTGTTTCGGGGCCGACCGGCAGGTCCTAGAGGAGGTCTGTCCTACATCACCAAGCCCTGGTGGTAATGGTCACCAGTATAAAAAACACCACCACCTTTATTATTATGCTGGGGGGGGGCACATTTTTTTCCCAAAAGTATCTTTACAGAAATGGGGACTGGGATGTCAGGGGCTGTTTTATTCTGAACAACATCCAACACGGTTCTCGTGGCATAGCTCTGGCCTGATCCCATAGGAGAGAAGCCAACTATTTGGTGGTTTCTGGTGGAATTCCTGCCCCTTTGGAGGAGAAGATGACTCCATACATGTTGGGAGAGAGGGCCCAGAGACAGAGGGAGGCGTGGCTGGGGCAGGAGAAACGGCTGGCCTCCACTTTCTGCCTGACATGGCGTGCACGCCCCCTGGTGGTGGCAAAGGGAAGCGAGGCCGACCCCAAGTGGTCATACAAGACTCTGGGTTCCCCTATGTCACCAAGAGCTCCCGGTTCATTCTGTGTCCTCCTCTTTCCATTTTCCTGGCTTTCCTGAAGGAGCAGCCAATCAAGTCATTTCAGCTGAACAGAGTCTTCAGGAAGCAGGCAGCATTTCCCTACCTCCAGCCCTGGGAGTGTGGGGACCTAGTTTGTGGTAGGAAGAGTCCCACCTGCTTCCAAGGCCCCTTTCTCCTGGGCAGCCCCTTATTCTAAGAAAAAGACCCTGTAGTACATTCCCTGCCAGGTGCTGAGGTTTCCAGCTGCTCTCTGAGGCTTCCAGAACCATCTGGGGCTTGGAGTCAGAGGCGTGTCCTTTCCGGCGTCCAGGCAGGGGTGGGCTGTAAGCAGCTGAGAACGGAGAAGGAGGTGGGCAGCTGAGTCTGCGTGTGCATGTGACTGATCACGTGGTCCAGTTCAGCAGCCTGGGCGGCTCCTTGGGCTTTACCCTGAGCGAGACGAGGCTTGGAGACTTATAGTCACCATCCACAGAGGGCTCAAAGCTGTGGCCCCCCAGGGCAGGGGAGAAGCCATGGATGGAGTAGATACCAGGGTGGGCTGTGGGGGAGGCTGGCATCCCCATGAAGCCCGCCACGTTCCCGTGGTTGTGGGAGTACGGAGACATGCATGGGGAGGGTATGCCTTCTGGAGACACAAGGCAGGGGCCCCCAGGGCTCCCAGAGCCTGGACTGGTCCACAGGGAATTCTGCAGCTGAAAAGAGCGGAAAAGAGAAGGCCCATGAGCCAGGGGCTGGCCCCTTCCCTAGGAGCTCTCCCTATGTCTTTAGGGCCCCAGAAACTTTCCAAGAAACCTCTTGTGGCCCAAGTCTTCCTTTCCTACCCCCGGCACTGGCACTGGCATCTCAGGAGGCCCGTGCTGCTGCTTCTCAGGAAGCAGTTTTCTTCTACACTCCTTTCGTGTTCTGTGTGCGTCATTCATGAGACTGGCAAGAGCCCCAGCTGGCGAGGAAGGAGTTAAGTGACCCACTCACTGTCACGCAGAGCCTGGTATTCTTGCTAGTAAGCCCATGGGGACATGGGCAGGCTCTGACTTGAGGTGGGGCTGGGGTCTCACCTGGGGGTGGCTGTCGGTGCGGGGCAGCACCGAGATGTCATAGGCAGCTGTGAAGGGGTTCCGCCCCTCCTGGATCTTCCCATAACGCTCGCGCTTCCGCCACTTGGCTCTGCGGTTCTGGAACCAGACCTGGGGACAGGTTGGGAAGGGTTGAGGGGGTGATAGAGCACACCTGAGGGGCTCTGTGTGGTGGTGGTGGGGGGTTGATATCTATGTCCTCCTGTGGGTTGGGAAGCTGGCGTTAGGTTGGGAAATCCATAGGGGCCGGAAAATCCACACAGTTCTCAGGGCCAGGAGAGCTTGGCTTCGAAGAGGCCTGGGATGCCCACGCCCAGGGCAGGTTTATTGGTCCTGCGGGCCCTTCCACCCCCTTGAGTCCCCTCTGTTGCTCCAGCCTGGCTGTGTCTGGTAAGGGTGCTGTGAGGGGCCCTGAGCATCTCCTAGCTGTGCTGCTGCACACGTGTTGGCCTTCTGGTGCTCCTGCCTTGTCTCCTTCCCGATCATCCCAAGGCATCTGAAGAGGGTTTTTTTTTTTTTTTTTGGAGGGTTTTCCCTTACGGGG